GTGTGTGTGTGTGTGTGTGTGTGTGTGTGTGTGTTTTGAGACAGGGTCTCACTATGTGGTTGAGACTGACCTGGAACTCACTATGTAGCTCAGGCTTGTCTCAAACTCACAGCAATCCTCCTGCCTCAACCTCTGCCCATATTTTTTTATTATAAACATCCTAGTGGATGTGAAGTGGTATCTTATTGTGGTCTTGATTTTTATTGCCCTGATTAAAGATGTTGAACATCTTCTCGTGTGCTTATTAACCATTTGTCTATCATCTTTGGCGAAATGTCTAGATCTTTTGCCCATTTTTGAATTGGTTATCTTTTTTTTTTTTTTTTTTGTACTGGGGATTGAACTCGGGCCCTTGCTCTTGTGAAGCAGGCACCGGAACCACTGAACTAAATCCCCAGCCCCCTGGTTATCTTTTTATTACTGATTTTTTAATATATATTCTGGATGAAAGTCCCTGATCAAATACATGATTTACAAATATATTTTCCCATTCTGTTTTTTTGTTGTTGTTGTTTTTGTTTGTTTGCTTTTACTTTTTTGATGGTGGTGTTTGGATCATGAAAGTTTTAAATTTTGTGGCTTGGCATGATGGTACATGACTGTAATCCTAGTACTCAGGAAGCTGAGGTAGGAGGATTGCCACAAATTTAAGGGCACCGTGGACTTCAGGTGAGTTCAAGGCCAGCCTAAACTACATAGTGACAGGGCCAGGGATGTAGCTCTGTGGTGCTGCACCTGCCTGGCAAGCACCCTGCCTGAAAAAAAAAGTTTTTAATTTTGATGTTAAGTTTATTGTATTTTGTCTTTATTTGCTTGTACTTTGATATTATAGCTAGGAAACTATTGCCTAATCCATGATTATAAAGATTTACTCCCATGCTTTCTTTTAAGAGTTTTATAGTTTTAGCTCACACTTACATTTAAATGCATCATATGTGATTTATTTATTTATTTTTTGAGGCAGGTCTTGCTATGCAGTTCAAGCTATCCTTGAACTCACTGTGCAGCCCTGGCCTCTCTTGAAATCACAGTGATCCTCCTGCCTCAGCTTCCCAAGTGCTGGGATTACAGGAGAGAGCTGCCACACCATCTGCTTTATATATTTTTAATCTATATATTTAGATGTTTGATCCATTTTAAGTTAACATTTGTATATGGTAGGGGTCCAACTTTATTCTTTTGCATGTTACTTTTTTTTTTTGTAATGGGAATTGAACTCAGAACCTTGTGCTTGCAAGGCAGGCATGGTGCCACTGAGCTGAATCCCCGGCCCTAGCTTGTGACTATTGATACAGGTACATACCGTTTGTTCAAAAGACTACTCTTTCCCCCTTTGAATTGTCTTGCATCCTTATTGAAAATCACCCTTGTTGACTATAAATTTGAAAGTTTATTTCTTGACTTTTTACTCTGAAACCAATAGTCTGCATATCTAGCCACGTTGTATTGTCTACAGTGCTGATATGGTAAGTTTCTAAGAGAGAAAATGTGATTCAATTCACTTTGTTCTTTTTCAAGATTGTTTTGGCTATTCTGGGTCCTAGAATTTTTGTATGAATATTAGGATCCAGCCTATCAATTTTCTCAAAAAAGCAAGCTCAACTTTGCAGGGATCTGCTAAGTCTATATATTAATGTGAAGTGTTTTCCATTTTAATAATGGTAAATCTTTCATTTTATGAACATAGGATGTCACCATTTATTAAAGTCTTTAATTTTTTTCAACTATATTTTATAGTTTTCATTAAGTCTACATTTCTTGGGCCGGGGATTTAGCTCAGCGGTTTCGTGGCCTGCCTTGCAAGCACAAGGACCCGAGTTCATTCTCTGGTGCCCCCCCAAAAGTCTACATTTCTTTTTTAAATTTTATTCCTTAATATTTTACTCTATTTGATATTATTATAAATGAAAATTTTTCCCAATTTTTTTTCAGATTTTTTTATTGCTAATGAGTCTTTTAAAAAAAGTTTTTTTTCTCTTTATACTAAATAGTTGAGCAAATGTATAAAATTTTAAAGGCATTACGGGGTACTAGTGAAGTTAATGGCCTTAGATTCTTGTTTACCTTAACAGGGATATTTAATGCATGTATAAGTAAATGTGTATGTACCCCCAACTTGGGTGATAGTTCTAAATGACTGATAAAAATTATTTTTAAGATTTGAAATGTATTTTTTATTTAAGAATGTTAGTGCATGCATACAAAAATCCTTCCAGGGCTGGGATTTAGCTCAGTGGCTCCACCACCTGCCTTGCAATGGCAAGGTCCCGAGTTTGATTCCCAGTACCAAAAAAAAAAAAAAATCCTTCGAAAACATGGAGCATAAATAAATGTCATTGCTATCCCATCTTCTAGTTTGTCAGTTCTCAGGGATCCAAGAATTCACTAGCTTTTTGGAATTCTAAAGAGAGTATTGAAAAAACACTGATTCCCCCTAAACCATGTAGCCTGCACTGTCAGCTCATCAGTGGTGTGAACATTACCTTATCAGAAGGTTTGTTAATGCCTGTAAATTTTAGAAAAAATATTTTGAAGATAAATATTGCTTGTTGTTATTGTTAGCATTATTGTTGTGATTTTTTATGTGTATTTCATATGTCCAGATTCTGCACACATCCTTGTTCTTATATAATTTGTGCCTCTGAACAGTCCATGTGGTGGGTGCTTTTGGTCCTTTTAACAGATAAGGAAAATGAAGCTGGAAAAAAACCATGACCTCCCTCCCCTCCATTCCCTCCTGGTTGCACAGGTGGTCAGCAGAGCTTAGACTCAAATTCAGGTTTCTTGATTTCAGAGCTCTCCTTCTCCATCGCAGTCATAGCTCTTTATGTGTCCTGTCACCTTCCTGACCTTGGGATGTAAACACATAGTTTGTTGAGAATTAGTGTGTCCAGAAACTCTCAGGGTGGGATATCACAGTGAGGAGGGTAGATTCTTATGGCGTTTGCATTCTTGCCATTTACAATGAGTAGGAGGCATCAGTTTTGAATGAAAGAGGGCTGGGGTCTGGTGGGCCTCACAGAGACAGTGAATCAAAGTAGAACTGGAGCAGGTGAGGTGGCAGACCATCTGTGGGGAGAAGGACTCAGGCTAGGGGAGCAGCCCTGCATGGGGCTAGGCAGAGGGGCTATGGCATCTTGTGAGTAGAGGAAGGAACCTCCAGGGAAGGAGTGTTCCAGTAAAGGGTTTATAGAGTCTGGAGGTGAGTTTTATTTTTTCTTCATTTGTTTTAATCTTTATTAAATGTTCTGGATATGTTTTCAAGTTAACCAGTGAGATTTGTTTTATTTATTTATTTATTTATTTATTTATTTATTTATTTATTTATTTTGGTACTGGGAATTGAACTCGGGTCCTTGCACTTGCAAGGCAGGCCACCGAACCACTGAGCTAAATCCCCGGCCCATCAGTGAGATTTCTTGATGGAGTTGCTGAATGACTTACTTGAATAGGAGGAGGGAGCTCAGTTTGAGAGTGTATGGCCAAAAGCCTCTGAGACCTCAGAGCGAGCCTGGGTGTATCAGGTAGGGAGTCACCGGCACAGAGATGGAGAACATACTGTGGGCAGGTGTGGGTATAGAAGGCCTTCAGCAGGTCAAGGAACAGGAAAGAAGGTCACAAAAGTTTCAGGCAGACTGAGAATGTTAACAGAAGGCCAGGGATTTAGTTCAATAGTTCTGCTGACTGCCTCACAAGCTCAAGGTCCTGAGTTTGATCCCTGGTACAAAGAAAAAAGAATGTTAATAAGGAGGAAGGAGATCTCTGTAGTGGATAATGGAGAAGGAGCCATCCATAGTGCAAGTAATGGGGAGGAGGAAGCAGCCAAAGTGGGTAATGGAGAGAAAAAGGAGTGATTTGAGGCGGTCATGTGGGTGTGGGGGAGCTGAGACAGCTAGTGGGAAGGAGGAAGTTCATGATCTAATGTGAAGTCAGAGAGGTAGGATGAGGAGCTGCCATCAGGCTTAGTGTTATGGTTATTGGAGATCTGGAAGAAATTTGGAGGTGCCAGGAGTGAGGGGAGTAAAAGCACTTTGTGAATGGGATTAAGAGAACATGGAGAAGTTAAAGGTACTATTACAGACCGCCCCCCTTTGAAGGATTTTGCTGCAAAAGGACATCAGAACTTAACAGAATATCTACTTGCATATTTAAAAAACTTTTTTTTCTTTTTTCTTTTGGTACCGGGGATCGAACTCGGGCCCTTGTGCTTGCAAGGCAGGCAGCAGAACCACTGAGCCAAATCCCCAGCCCTTGCAGATTTTTTTAAGATGGAAGAAATAAGTTCTGATAGTACTAAACTCAAGGGAGGAATAAGTGTGGTAAAGTAGAAGAAGAAGGCTTGATAGAGCTTGTTGGATGGCAAATAGGAAGAGTTAATATGTTAGCCCATGGTGGTCTGTAGGACATCTGATGGTTTTTCTCAGAAGAGAATGAAGCAGGTTCTTAGTTGAGAATGAGAGTTAAGGAGGAGCAACAGGCACAGAAGGTGTGAAATGGGCTGGGAAGGATATTAGGCAGCCAGGTACATACTGATGTGGGGTTTAGAAAGCAGGAAGCAGAAGATGGTCAGCTGCACTTTCCTCTGATATATTTAGCAGCAGGTGTAGAAAAGGAGTTTTCCATGGGTACTGGTTTGCCGTGGAAGTGGAAGGATCCAGACCTGGAGGCCCAGAGGTTACAGAGGGGCCCACGTTCATGGTGGCCTGGCTGGAGGGTCATGGTAAAGAGAAGATGGGGGAGAGGAGGAGATTTCGCTCCTGGAGTTTTGGGAGCCTTTGTAGTAGTGGATGTGTAGTGACCTCATCCTGTCCACACTGTGGAAAGTGAGTGATGGTGGGAGACCCCAGTGTTTGGTCTGTGCCACGGTTTGTATGTTGAATGTAACCTTCATCCTCATTTGTTAAAGGTATGGTCCCCAGAGTGGCAGACCATCTGTGGGGAGAAGCACTCAGAGTGGTGGAACCTTTAGGAGGTAGGTCCTTAAGGGAGGCCCTTGGGTTGTTGGGGTGTGTCCCTGAAGGGGATCCTCTGACCTTATTCCTTTCAATTTTGTTCCTTGGTTCCTGATGTGAGCAGCTTGCTCTGCTACCTGCTCCAGTCATTGCCCTTGGCATCCTCATCAGAACTACAAAGTGACAGGTCTTCCTCATCGTGGACTAGAACCTTCAGAACCATGAGCTAAATAAACCTTTTTCTTGTAAGTTAATGATAATACTGATGGAAAGCTAACACAGATGCATGTCCTGAAGGTGGCACTGGGAGCACTCTTGGGGCCCTGTGGGACTGTGATTATCAGCCTTTTCTCATGGGTGCACATGGTGGGTCATTGTCACTCCAGGGTCTCTCTGGGGAAACAGGATTCTGTACTTGAAGTGGCACTGACAAGAGTGGCAGGACTCCAGGCCTGGCTTCATGCTCTGAGCATGCCGGGAGGGTTGGGAGGGGCTTCAGCACCACTGTTGCTGGTCACAAGGCAATTAGTTGGAATCTGAAGTGAGAGCTGTGTATAGTCTCAGTGTCTCACAAAAGGAAACTGCGTCATAGTAGGGCTGCCCAGCAGGACACTGCGTTCTGAAGAGTGCAGCAGCAGCTTCTGCATGTGTGTAGAAATGTGTGCCTACACACTGCAGTAGGGTAGAGGCTGCTAGAACAAGATGTGACAGAAGGAAGATTCACAAAGGAAGATGGACCTCTGTGCAGCATGCATAGTGGGTCCTGTTTTTGAAAATTGAAAGAATAGTACATGTGCTGATATATGTAGAATTTTTCTGAAAGGAAACATGAGACAATTAACAATGGCTTCTTTGTTGGAATCTTCATCCATGCTATGATTTATCTGCTCTGTGGGATGATGGGCTGTTTCCATTTTCTTCTTTTCCCTTCTGAGTGAATAAACCCTAAGATGTGTGAATTATTCAGAATGGGTGTGGGGCAGGAAAGGAAAGAGTTGCTACTTGAGCTGCAGTGAGAAAATCCTGAGGATAACCTGGGAGCAGCAATATGTGAAAGGAGAGGCCAGAGACAGCTGTAAAGGATGTAGAGGTTAGGAGGCAAAGGGATAGGGTCAGCAGCTGTGAAGGTGTGGGCCTCATGCCCTTGTCCACATACAGTTGTAGTGCCCCTTGTTTCTACTTGGGCTCTGGGCTGTGCTGTGTGTGAACTGGTCAGCCCTGCAGTTGAGAGGCCAGAGCCTAGGATCACCTTGCTAAGATCCAGACTGCACTGTGAACCACTGGTGCTCTGGGCTTATCACGCTCTGTCCTGCCTGCTGTGGAAGCATGGCATTCTGTAGAGCATGGGCATTCTGGCTCTGTCCTTACAGCAGTAGTTATTTTGCAGTTTGAACTGTGTCGTGTAGCTCCCCTGCTTTAAATGATTTAATGGCTTTTATATTTAGGACAAGATTAGTAATCTCAGCATTTCCTCTGAGCCTCTGAGCTCTGCAGGTGCACTGGTGGCATGTTCTCCACCCCTAGTCTAGTCCCAGAAGGCTATTCTCTTCTTCAAGAATTGGCTTCATTCTCCTCTCTGAGGTCTCAGTTTGGAAATTGAGTCTTTCCTCACATAATTTAATGCAGATTGTGATGGTTAATCTTGACTAGATAAGTAGGTGATTGGATTTTGGTGGTGCTTACCTTACCAGTATATCCATTGATGAGTTCATGGCTGGATGGACTATTAAAAGGTGGAGCCTAGAGGAGGGAGTAGGTCACTGAGCACATGTCATCATAGGCTATGTCTTGTCCCTCGTGACCCTTTCCTCTCTAGGTCTTTCGCTCTCATTCTGCTTCCTGGTTGCCACTAGGTGAGTACTTTTCCTCAACCATACCCTTCTGTCATGATGTTTCTGCTTGGATCCAGCTGGCCATGGACTGAAACCTCTGAAACTATGTGGTTAAATAAACCTCTCTTCCTTTAAGTTGTTTTCTCATATATTTAGTCACAGCAGTGAAAAGCAGGGTAACATATAGGTGCTACCTGCTGTTCTTCCTTATTGAAATCTATTTTCTTTTTTAGAATTTACCAGAATTTATATTTGTCACTTTTCTCCTTTAAAGTATAAGTGCATAAGAGCAGTTACCACATTGGTTTTGTTCATCATTTATCAAGGACCAAGTATGATAATGACATATAAGTGCAAAAGAGATTTTTTTGGGGGCATGAAATGATGAATGCAAAAATAGAAAAAAAGTGTCAGAATTAATGAGATCTGTAAGGAATACAAGACATATTGCTAGCTATGCTATACATAGTTACAATGTATGCTATATATTTTAATTATGGAAATATGCTCCATAGCAGTGCAGAGGAAGAGGCTCAATGCATTTATTTTGCCAGGCTCATCTCAAAGGCTGGATAGTTTTGGTTAGAATGAGCAGAGAGGAAATGTATCCTAGATAGGGAACAAGTATCCAGGTACAATTGGGGCCTGGTAAGTGCAAGGCACAACTGAGAAACAAGTAGTGTTGTGGGAGCAAAGTAGAAACAGGGAACGCATCTACACCAGGATGGTGCCACAAGTTTACCTGAGCTGTGCTCACCGGTTACTGACGAGAATGGGTGTAAGTCAGTAATGGTGAACCTTTTAGAGCTTTCAGCAATAACAAATTGCCCATTGTGGTGCATGTGCCATGGATTTGCCACCAGTGGTGTTAGTGTTCTTTAGTCTTACTTAAATAGTCACAATTAGCTATAATATTGAATAGAGTATTTCCAAAAGATTCCGGTTGAAGGGTATATGTCCCTTTATTTTGAGGGCACAACTAAATGTATACCAGGATGAACACATTGTGACCATAGCTAATGTTTTGGGAGTTTGTTGAATCTGGCTGTGGAGTTATAATGGAGCCAAGGAAGAGGAGACTAGAAGTGTAGAGCCAGAAAGAGGAATTTGGTGTTGCATGTGCAAAAGGCTGTTGAGGTTGAGGGCAGGTGGCTGCAGAGCTAGTGTATGTTGCCCTGGATGAGAAGACAGGTGGGGAGACCTGGGGCCAGGCAGGAGGGACTCAGGAACTTTTTATACCACTAGCTTGCACCAAGCACTGTATCCTGTGGGCAGAAACAGACGCTCTGTGAAAGTGTATTTGGTGATTGGGAGAAGGGACTTAGGGAGACTACTATCCATTTGGTATTTGTAAAGGGAGGTGGTCCTGGTGTTTGGGAGAAAAGTGGTTGGAGTAGAAATTTCGACTTGGCTGTCAAGAGGTCATACATAATGGAAACTGGGAACAGAACAGTAGGTTTAAAGATAGAATATAATCCTAGCACTCAGTAGGCTGAGGCAAGAGGATTTCTGAGAGTTCAAGGCCAGCCTGAACTTCATGGTGAGACCCTGACTCCAATGAGAGAAGGGGTAAGGAGGGAGAGGTCAAGAGCGAATCCTCAGTTGGAACAGCATGGGCAAGTGAACACCAGGGAAGGGTGCTGGGGAGGAGTATGGATCAGTGAGGCATTATACAACAGTGTGATATGGTGTTAAAAGCTAATGAGTCAGAGCCAGAGGATTTGGAAAAAGCTTGTTTGACTTCTTTGATCTTTTAAGCCCCATGAAATATTCTAGAAATGTTTTGTTAGTGGTAGCACTTGTTTCTCCACTCATAGGTCAGAAGCTGATGTATAGGGAAAGGAGCATTGTCACTATGTTTTCTGTGACTGAAGCAGGTATCAGTGGAAATAGAAAGTTGAACCACCTGAAATTCCAGCTTTTTAGGTCAAAAACTGTTAAAAATACTAATTTCATATGAAATCCCTGGTGATACGAAGTTTTCATGCTAGTGGCTCCCCAGCACCTGTAGGCAGTGCCAGATGATTCCTCCGAGCCTTCAGTATGCCAGTGCAGTAAAGTTGGCCATACTTAGGTGCCCCATGGTATGGCTGTGGGTGTCTAGCTGCATGTTCTTTACACATGTGTACATTATCAATGACTACTTGTGTTAGAAACAGCGATGGAGAATTATGACTGCAATGCCAGAGGCCAGAGAGCCTCCAGTCTGGTCATTGTACACTTTCCAAAAATTAAGTCCTTTGAACTGTCTCTCCTCAGTGCTTTGTAGTACTCAGTGTACATGTTTTGCCAAATTCATCCCTAACATTCAGTACTGATTTTTATCACAAATATTAAACTTCACTTAGTGCTTCTGATTTTATATATGTATATATAATTATTTCGTCTGTGAACAATGGTATTTTTATTTTCATTTTCCAGTCTGCATATTGTTTTCTGCCTCATTGCACTGGCTAGGACCTCTGATAAAATGCCATAGTAAAGTGGTGAGGAAGATGCATTCAGTCTTTCATGATTTATGTGTTGGAGCCTCTCTCGGGTTGAAGCAGGCAGTCTCCTACTGTCAGTTTGCTTAGTTTTATTAAAGAATGAGCAGAGCAGACCAGGGATTTAGCTCAGTGATTCTGCCGCCTATCTTGTAAGCACAAGGTCCTGAGTTCGATCCCCAGTACCAAACAACGACAAAAAGAGAAAGAGCAGAGCGTGTTCTGGTGTTTCCTTTACCTCTGTGTGGTGATCAGACATTGTTTTTCGTCTATGTGGTAGATGACATGCATAGATGCTGATGTTAAACCGACTTTGCAATCCTAGAACAAACTCCATTTGTGTGTGGTGTGTTATCTTTTATGATTGAATTCAATTTGCTCAAATTTTCAAATTTTAAGAATTTTTATGTCTGTGGTCAGCATAATATTGGCTTCATAAAGTGAGTTGAAAAATGCTTCTCCCAGAAGTAGAAGTAGAAGAATTTGTAAAGAAATGTCACTTAACTATTTAGTAGGATTCATCAGTGAAGTCCTCTTGGCCTTAAATTTTCTTTGTGGGGAAGTACTTAATTACAGTGTAAATTCAGTTTCTAGATATGTTGGCTGTTCAGGTTAACTTTCTTCAGGAGTGATCTTTGATATTTTATGTTCAAGAAATTTGTTCATTTTGTCTAATTTATTAAATCATTTACAAATGTCAGTTAACATGGATTGATGGAGCTCTGGTCATATCTATGCTTAGAACAAAATTTGAATTTGTCTCTCATTCCTGCATACCTTTTGCTTCCATTGCTTGCCCGCCCTCCCTCCCTCCCTTCCTTCCTTCCTTCCTTCCATGGTACTAGGGATTGAAACTAAAGCTTTTGCTGTGAACTATATCCTCATCAAACCCCCCCCTTTTAAATTTAGAGACAACCTTGTTTAGTT